GATCCCAGGACCCTGGGATCATGACCTGAGCGGAAGGCAGATGCTTAATGACTGAGCCACCCAGGCGCCCCAATTGTCATGACTTTTTAGACCATGTATTTATTGTCTTGAATCTCTTCTGATTTTGTGCTTTTTAGAATAACCATTACAATGAAAATAATGTTTTCTCCTATGGGAAAATCTTTACTGCTCCAATAGGAATATGCTGGTTATGGACAGAATTGTGTGTCTCCCCTCCACCCCCCAATCTGTATGTTAAAGCCCTAAGGCCCAGTGCAACTGTATTTAAACAGAGAGCCTTTCAGGAGGTAATTAAGGTTATATAAAGTCATAAGGGTGGGCTCCCAATCTGACAGGACTCGTGTCCCTCTAAGATGAGGGTAGACACCAGACATCTCTCTATCTGCACGTGCAGAGGAAAGGCTGTGTGAGGGCCCACTGAGTAGGCAGCTGAGAGTTCTCACTAGAAGTTAATCTTGCTGGCACCTTGACCTTGAACTTTCAGCCTCCAGAACTGAGAGAAAATAACCTTTTATTTAAGCCCCCCAGTCTGTGGTACCCTGGGGCCAACTATACAATGCTTTTTCTTTTTTTAAAGATTATTTATTTATTTGACACAGAGAGAGACAGCTAGAGAGGGAACACAAGCACGGGGAGCGGGAGAGGGAGAAGCAGGCTCCTGGCCGAGCAGGGGGCCCGATGCGGGGCTCGATCCCAGGACCCTGAGATCATGACCTGAGCCGAAGGCAGACGCTTAATGACTGAGCCACCCAGGAGCCCTACAATGCTTTTTCTAATAGCTGTACAGGGCAACCTCTAATCAGTGATTAAAGAAGAAGTGGGATGAGTGTTTCACTCTTGTCTATGATTACAGTTGATAGAAACTTGGAGCAGAAGGACTAGCAGTTAGGATTCATGAGAGAAGGCATGACATGAATTTCTTCTAAACAGTTGTCTATAGTCAACTAGAGGGAACATTTCTTGCATAGTATATGGCAAATATAAGTACTCTAAATTATTCTGAGATAAGATTCTCACTGTTTTCTAAGTAGTAATAACGGGTACTTTCTCACTATACCATACATTCTTTAGGGGCAGGGACTATTTGCTGGGGACCTCTGTCACCACGGCGGCAGGGACTGAGCCCAGCACAGAAGTGCTCCGCTTGCTGAACTGAGCCGCTGGTGTAAGTTACCTAATTTTATCTTTGTAGCAAACTCACGAAGTAGATACTGATTATCCATTTTATATTTAAAGACACTGGAGCTGAGAAAGGCTGGCTTGCCAGTCACTCAGCTCCGTATGGAACCCAAGGTCCATGTGATTCCACAGCTCATGTGATCTTTGCATGAGATTAGTTTGCTTCTCCAAATTCCTATTGTTATACCAGCTAACACGTGATCTGCCACTTCTTTAAGCCAACAGCAGAACAAAGAATTAAAGAGAGAAGGCTCTACTGAAACTAAGTGCAGAGAGATCTATTTTTTAACAAGTTCAACAAAACATGAGAATGTGAAATCTCACAGGGAAGGGAGCATCTTCTTCAGCCCTAGTGCCTGTTACCTTAGCACCCGGAAGGCACTCTAAACAAGTCTGTGAATGGACACTGAAGACTTCCACTTGAATTAGATACATGTTTAAGTCCCAGTTAAGTAGCTTTCTGTGACAACTTAGGCCAATGCGTAAAATGAAAAGAATTCATGTGGTGCTTGGTAATAAAAAAAAATGATCAAACATAAGAAGCCATGTTATACATCTGAACTCTCAGCCAAATTAAACATAATTTGAGCTCTCCTAGGGAATCTGCTTCAAGCTTAGATAAGAAAGGCAATCATGTGCAATAATAATATGCATGTGCCCAGGGTCGATCATTTAGGTAACCCATGCCCTCGCTTGTCTAATATGAACAAGAATAAAGAGACTTGGGAGGGAAAGCCTGTATAGCACTAGGGGCTTTCCTGTTTCCTGTCCTTCCGCCTGGCAGCATTTTCCAGAGGGAAGGGGTAACTCTACATCTCACTTTTACTAGTCCGATTGAGGAATTCTCATTTTATGCCCCTCCTCTCTTGAAAGCAATACCATTCAATGTTGAAGGATTCCAACTGCTCAGAGATACTCTAATCTGGAATTTTAGCTATGCATTACTCATATTAGTATCAATATTCACATTATTTTTATATTAAAGTGTGTATAACAGTGTATACCATTTGCCTACTAAAATCAAGATGTTAATTTTGTTGGTTCCCCCCCCACAATGTTCTATAGAAGCCAATGCAAAACTCTAGTAAATCCTATAAATTTTGTAAACTGCCAAACAAGAAATACAAAGTCAGAACTTCTCAGCTCTTCCTTGCCCTTGGAACAAAGTAAAGCACTCACAGAAGTAGATGGAAATCCTAACAGACTGTATGCATGAACCATGCCTCTTTCTCAACCTTTCTGCAGATGATTTCCCAACTTCCGTCAGCCTCAGCCTCTGTCCTGGCATCCAGATCTATTCTTCGTTTCAAGCAACCAAGTCAGTGCCATCACTTACCCTCCCTGCTTCGGGCTCGAGAACAGAGTGACCTCTAAGGCACTGTTGTCCCTTGCTCCCTAATATTTCCTTCTTACTTTATAGAATCAACATGTATAGGGCACATTCGAAGTGCTGCACAATTATCAACTAATTCAAACATCAGAACAGTCTCTAATTTTCCTCATTTTATAGTTTGGGAAACTGAGGCACAGAAAGACCTAAGGTAATTTTTTGAAGGACAGGCAGCAGGAAAGGGCTGAACCTGGGGTTTGCTCCAGAGCACCTGCATTAACCACCACTGAATCCATCCAGAGTCCACCCGAGATGATCCTGCGCTCATCCCCTCCCTTCTGTTCCCACCAGCACCGTGTTAGTTCAAGCCTCCAGTATTTCTCAGCTCCTCACTGCTTTCCCCCAAGTTCTCTTCCCTGTCCAATCTACCCTTCCCGATGTCACAGATTAGTTAGCTTAAAGCCTGGATGTGATTTTATCACTCTCCTGCTTCCGTCTCTAGTTGTTCCTCAGTATTTCCTGAATCGTAAGTAAACTCTCTCCTTTGGCTTTCGAAGCCCTTCACAGCATCGCTTCAACTTACCACGCCAACTTTTTCATTTCCCTGTGCGCTTCAGTTCAGTTCCCTACACTTGCCCACTCAGCGCTTCTGCTGCCTACATACAATGCCTTCAACCCTGCCTCTCCCTGGCAAAGGCCCACACATCCTTGAAGATCTGAGCTCTGTCGGAAATGCTAACCCTCCCACAAAGCCTTTCCTAGGCAGATGTATCGCTCTCCCCTTTGCCCGTGGTTCTTCTCCCAGATTTATCTTTCTCTATTTTGAATGATGGTTATTTACGATGATGTCTTACTTTGTTTTTACACTGTCATGTCTCTGAGGGCCATGTCCGGGTTTTATGTATCCCACCCCCTATCATGCCTAATAACAGAAGCTTGCATACGGTAAATCTGCAGTAAAAATTTGTTAAATGGAATCGAGTGTACAGGCTAGTGACATTAATTCCCACCATAAATCAATGATTAAAAAATGAGAAAACTCTTAAAGAAAAAAAACTGAAATAAAATTAATCCTTAGAAATAGGAAAATGCAGTGGTGCCTGGGTGGCTCAGTTGGTTAAGTGTCAGCCTTCAGTTCAGGTCATGATCCCAGGGTCTTGGGATTGAGCCCCACATCGGGCTCCCTGCTCAACGGAGAGTCTGCTTCTCCCTCTCCCTCTGCCTCCTCCTCACCCCTGCTCATGCTCTGTCTCCCACTCTCTGTAAAATAAATAAATAAAATCTTAAAAAAAAAAAAGAAATAAGAAGATGCTAAAACATTTGAGAATTTTAGGAAGTGACGGGCAGAAACTTTACAGAAGAACCGCGTGTAGAGGATGAGATCCTAACCCTCTATTGTACTACAAGATGAAAAATGTGTCAAACATGTGAACAGGCACCTGCAAGGTAAGACCACTGGCTAATGCGGTGTTACCTTGGCAACTGTTTGTTCAGCCACGGTGCTAGGCCGCCGCTGGCGGGCATCGAGTCTCTGCTCCACGGGAAAACTGCTCCGATGTGATTTCAGGCGCTCCACCAACAAGTAATAAATGGCAGCAAAGTGGTTATAGCTCTTGTTCTGCAAAGACTGAAAGAGAAAACAAGTGCTGAAGGCAGAGAAGCATAAAAACCAGTCCAGTGATCTACATCTTTCTGAAAAAGGAGGGAAGAAATCATGACAGAGTCACGAACAGAGAGTGTCTAGAACAAAAGCTGTTCCAGAATTCAGAAGAACAGACAGTTCCAAGTTTCTAGTACTGATTACACGAAGGCTGATGCCCCTGAGGGACTGGCCCGTTTACAGTAACAGGCTCCACCTGCTTTTCTGAGTGCAGGAAGAATGCCGCTGCTGTCTCATGTCCCCAGTGCTACCACACGGTCCCATCTCCTAGTTGTGACTATGGTGTAAGGTCCGTTACAACCTGGTCCCACGGGCTCGAATTCCACAACTTCGGCACAAGTCCAAACTACTGCAAACTCTGAAATGAATGATTAAAGTCTTTGGGGAAATTTCTGGAGATTATTTTGGGCTGGAGAGTAACATTTGGAGGCTGGATTGAGAGACACTGTGTCTCCGTTCTTAGGTAATTTTTTCCTCTTGTTTTTGCAGTCCCACCCTCCTGAAGCCTTGAAAATAAAGTTGCTTCCCAATTTTTCGCATCCCTCGCCGGCCAGCTTTCCGAGGGTACTAGCGGAAGAGAGGAACAACTGCTCTTCTGGCTTCTAATTCGGCCTAACCATCTGCCCGGGTGCTGTGCAGGGCGCCTTGGGTGCAGAGCAGGCATGGCAGAAATCAAAGGCCCGTCGGGCTGCCCTCCCAGCTGCCGTTCTAGATCTGCTTCGTGGCCGAGGACAGAAACACGCCGCTGAGCGCGGGACAAGCAGAGCAGGAGGGAGTCTGGCTTGGCTCTCGGCAGCATGGTTTGGAGCACTGTAAGTTCACAAGAGGCATTTTGTACTCTTTCTTGTTATGCCTCCTCTGTAAGAGCACTGTTGGTTTTTTACTGTTGTGGAGGTAAGGAAAATGTGTTTCTCCTAGGAATATACTAACTACTAACGGACAGAAATAAAAGAGAGGAGGAATTTCCCAGGCTCACGACCCTCAGTTCTACGACCGAGAGTACTTCCAAATCTGGAATCCACCTGTGTCTGCCTTCTCAGCTTCCCCAGCTCACGGCCTACACCCCACTGGCTTTCCTGTTTCCTGATCGGCCCTCAGCCTTGTTCCCTAGCTGTACATTCATATTCCATATAAACTAGCTTATGACCCAGATAAAACTTCATGTTTCACCTTAGAAGAAATTTTCTACTTTGTATGTGTTAAGTTTCCATCTTTGTCTTTTCCCCATCCTATATAAAGTCCACCTCTGGAATTTTTTGGCAGATGGGGCAAAGGGAGGAATTTATGTCTTTTTTTTTTTTTTAAAGATTTTATTTATTTATTTGAGACAGAGAGAATGAGAGACAGAGAGAATGAGAGAGACAGCACATGAGAGGGGGGAGGGTCAGAGGGAGAAGCAGACTCCCTGCCAAGCAGGGAGCCCGATGCGGGACTCGATCCAGGGACTCCAGGATCATGACCTGAGCCGAAGGCAGTCGCTTAACCAACTGAGCCACCCAGGCGCCCGGAATTTATGTATTGAATAAAAAAGCAAACATGAAGGAGTCTGACTGTGATCCTCAGGGAAAACTGAACAATGTGCCTATAGGTGTTGGGGGTGGCTGTGATGGAAGACCATCAGTCAAATCTCTGATCACTTTACCTCGATGGTTTTCTGCTGATCTATTCCAAGGCTGTGCATCAATCGCAGAACCTGTTCATTAAATTCCCCAATGGATGGCTCATTTTCTTGCCCTTGTGGATAGAGAACAGGTCTCTGTACAGGAACTTCTACAAGCATCCATTTATGCTCCTTGATTTGAGCTATTGTTAGCCGTTTGGACGGGTCTAGGACCAACATCCTTCGAATAAGGTGCTCACAATCTATGGAAAACACAATGTTACAAAAGTCATGTAAATCACCTTGCACTTCAGGGTACTGGCTTGACTCATGTGACTCTGCACAATGGTGTTAATCTCTGTATCCTCCACAATGCCCACTGGAAAGCAGAAGATCAAATGAATAAATGAACACATGAAAGCCAGTTGTACTGATCAGGTTACCATGGTGAATGTTGACACAAAAGTAACCACCACCGAGAATGAATACTTAAGAAAATCAGGAGGGTGTAGGTCTGTCCAATTTTGTGCTAAATGAACCTTTCTATTGAATTTCTCAAGTGAAAAGATCTAGACACAGACTTAGATTCTGCTAAGACAAAAGCAAGCCTTCTCCTAGAATGAGCACACACATGGAGCCCCAGTCACTTCTGAGGCTGACACACTAGAGGCTATGTGCGTGAGGTAAGAGGTCTCCAGAGGACTGTTGCTCTTCTCCCGTCAGTGCAGCTGAGAAAAACACACATGAAGCACTAGTTACTTCTGATTATATTACAAAAACTGCACTGCTGTGACTCGGGCACCCACTTATTCTCGGAGCGGACACCATGCTCTCTACCACCCCACAGAAGCTAGCCTCATACCCTCTGCTATGTGCCAGGCACCATGCAAGCTGCTTTACACAGATTACTTCCATTCATCTTCCCAGCGCCCTTACCAGGAGCCACTGTGCTTCCCATGTTGTAGCCTGAGGACACGGAAGCACAGAGAGGGGACGTAACTTGTCAAGGGCAGACTGCCAGTAAGTGGTGGACTCGAGATTAAAACCAGGCAGCCGGGCTCCAAGGCCTATGCTCTTAACTACTAGAGCTTTATTTCTACCATGACTAGGAACGAAAGAGTTAAGGATGACCACCAAAACCTGAGGAGGAAACGTAGCTGAGCAACAACCCAACTGGTTGTACGTAACAAGCTAATCCAAGTCGGGCTCTGCATCTTAGTCCAACAGCTTTGCCAGTTTTTAATTCAATTAAAAAATGTAATTTTGCAACTTCTCACCAAAAGATACAGGAAAATCTATTTCATAGAGTAAAATGGTTGTGAATCTATCTACAAAGTGCTTCTCTAAGTCTAAAATAAACTGGGGACATTTATAGACCCAGAGTAGATGTGAAGACTTGCTGTTCTTAACCTGGAAAGCTTTCCGTTTTCAGTTACAAGTAGGAAGGCTACAGCTTCTCTCACCTACATGGAGGGGGCTGCTTACTTCTATAGCTTTTCAAGTGACTCAATCACTTTGTTTGGCACCCAAGCTCTTAGAACAAGGGAAGCCTTTGCCGAGGCATTTCATTCGGAGCACAAATTCTGTAAAGCACGAGTGTAAGACAAACGGGTTACCTTCTGACATGAAATACGGAATCCGGAATCTTCCTTCTAAAACTCTCTGCCTCAAAATTGGAAGAGTCGGTCCATCAAAAGGCAGAGCTCCACAGACAAGGACATAAAGAACAACTCCCATGCTCTAGGGAAGAAAACAAGGCAGTCACTTTTCCACTGAGGACTTTAAACACTCTTTGTTTTCCTAAACATCCCCAGGGCCCTTAAAATCATACGGGCTGAAAAATTCCTGTTTGGATTTACTATTGTCTCAGAATTTCAAAACAACACAAAACAAAGCAAAACTAAAACTCGGACTACTGTAATAAAATATCCTATAATAAATACTCAAAGATCTGAATTTAATCATTTTGATTACTACTTAACGTTAAGTTATGGCCGATAGTAAAGTAATAACATCTGTCCCTAGACGTTCTTTCCTAGAACTTAATTCAAAAATGCTCTAATTAGTCCAGTGGACAGGGGAAGTATGAACTACTACCTATGTGTTAGGTACCAAGAGCTTCAAAGACAGGCCAAAGTACTAGTTATTACCATTAGAGATGCATTTAACACAGCAAAGCAAAGAAATACCCAAATATCCAGCTGTGGTCCTTCATACTGCTGCCCTTCGAAGACTTCTGGGGCTGCATAAGGGGGGCTGCCACACCATGTTGCCAGCAGTTCCCCACTTTTAAAGAAATTTCCAAAGCCGAAATCTATTGGAATGGAAATAAATGTTACTTTCATCTATGCTCTCAACTATACTGAATTTCTTGTAGTAAATTTTACAATATGCCATATCAACAATAGCCCTGCTACGGCATCTGTCTTGTGCTGTGTCCGCGGCACTGAGCACAAGGTCTAGAAAATATCAAGTATTCCATAAATATTTGTTGAATGGATGTATAAATAAATCAAGTTTTCTTCTCAAAGAGAATGAGTAAGAGGTTGGAAAAAGACTTTAGAATCATGTATTTTTTTTTTCTTTAAAGATTTTATTTATTTATTTGACAGAGAGAGACACAGCGAGAGAGGGAACACAAGCAGGGGGAGTGGTAGAGGGAGAAGCAGGCTTCCCG